ATTAAATAAGTCCATAACTTAAACCTTAGTAAGTCAATTAGTTGAAAAATCATCGTTTAATAAATATGTATAAATACTTATAATTCTTACTAATTACTACCATTATTTCAAGTTAATGCACATAAAAATCACTTTTGGACAGAATATTCCATGCACTAACATAAAATCAATAACTTTATTATTTAACTTTAATAATTCTTATTGGATCATCTCAATAGATTACCGAATTTAATGATGTGGTAGTTTAATAAAATTAATAGATATAAAACTTTATTAAATTTTTAAAGTTTTCATTACAAATGAATTAATAAGAATAATCCCATAAAGAATAATCTCTTTTTGTAGAAAACTCTCTATGAAACCAAAATAAAATTTTTTATTAACCACTCACACTTTTTTTGATCAATATGCACAATCACTATCTTCATATAGAAAATCATACACATTAATTTCAAGAAACAATATTTTAAAATCTTTATTTAAAATCTTTATTGAAAAATATGTGAATTTTAATAAATGATTCACTTTGATAGTACCACCAACGTCGATTCATATACTCTCACGAGTATTTATCTAATATAACATTTCAGAATTCTTGTTGAAAAGTATGTAAATCTCAATAAATGGTTTATTTTGCTAGTCCCATCCACGTCAACTTACAAGTTCCTATCAGAATAATTACCCATAAATAATGTAATATCTTAGAATTGTTATTAGAAGATTGACTAACCTCTCACTAGAACAAAATTTCTTGATATCTCAAAAATATTTAGTGACAAAAATCATTAATTCTAATAAATAAACTCTTGATACTTATATTCATTAGAAAACATTATTAGAACTTTCATCTATAGATATATGGTTTTATAATCTCTCTCAATCATATCTTTTACTATTTTTAATGATGATAACATTTTAATATGTAAGCAGAGAAAATTTTAAAAGTTTTGAAAAAACTTTCAATACTAATTAGTTCCTTTACTTTAAAACTCAAAAAAAATTATATAAAACCTCATCAATATTTTAAACATATTAAGATATACAAATTCTAAAATCCTTGAAACTTTATCAAATATTTTTTTTATTACATTTTGTTTTAAAATTTTCATACACAGCTACAATTAGGCTACTATCAATATATGTATAATTATTTATTAAAGATTATTAATTACTAGTAAAATCTGTTATATAACTAATAATTTAACTTTAAATTATATATACTGTGAGTTATATCCAACTTTAATTCTACAAAACATTTTTAGTGATTTAAAAATTGAGTAGTAAAGTTATAAAGTTCATATGTTAAAACTTACATATAAAAACAAATAATTTTATCTTAAATAAGATACTAACACGAGTAAAATCATATTTTGTTACCTTATACTATTATAGTTTGCCTTGACATAACTTGATGAATCATTGAAACTATACTACTCATCAATCATTAGTGCACTTTTAATATATATATATTCTTTGAAAAAATTTTTAACCTCTATAAAATTAGTAAAAAATAACAATTATACTTTCTTCGAATACAAAATTAATTTTTATAGATAATTTATTAACAACTACAAATGTGTTTCTTATATCCAAATATAAAGATTTTATTTTCTTATTAAACAACACAATGTTAAAAAACTCATATGTTAAATTACGTATGAACATAAACTATTTTTTATGAAAATTAAAGTTTCACAATTATTTACCAATTTATTTCATAACTACAAATTTCTTTATTAATAATCAAATTTAAGAACTTTGTCAATGATTAATACAATTAATTTTAAAAAATTTAACCCAAAAATATTACAATATATATAAAACTTACGTACCACCTAAATAACAAAACGCAACAAAGCCCGAAGCGGGTTTCACGTCAATGAATTAAAACTCAAAGTGCACAATTGCTGAAAATTGCTTTAGTGTCAACTCCTAAGATCAGATGCAACACCTTCACAGTGAAAATCAAGTCTGTCTCGGACTCGACATGGATTGCTAATGATTGGACAAGTGTCGACGCCCTAAGACTAAGGGTCAACACCTTCACCAAGTGGAGGAAATAAGTCCGTGTCGAATTTTTGGATCATTATGTAATTTTTTGAATGGTAAAATAACAATACTGGTCCCTAACCTTCTATTGGCATTTTTTTTTAGTTGGATTCCTTATTTGATTGGGATGCCGAACCCCAATCAACTCCTTTGCTCTGCTTTCGATTGAGATTCTATATCTCAAACCCTTTTTTTTATTTTCTTTTAAATTAATTAATTCAAACAAAATAATAATATATTAAATAATAAAAAAACATAATAATATAAACTTGCAAATTTTAAAAAATTTAATTATTTTTATATCATATAATCATTTATAAAAGTTGCTTTAAACACTTAAAAAGATACAATGATTAAATGGCAGTGAATCTTGAATTCAATGTACAACCATTGTTATGTAATTTTACTTAACCTCTTGGGAAAAAATTTGCACTAAACAAAACTATTAAAGAATCAAATAGTAGTTTTCCTATTAATGATCACTGTCACAATAACTTTTCTCAATTTTCACATTTTACGTTTTGTTTTATTATATTGTTAGATAAAACTTAAATGGGTTCAGATTCATAATAACCTAAAAAACCTCAAATTTAATTCTTAATTAAACATATACATAACCTAATTAGAAAACCAAAATTGAGTTTCTTAAGTTATGAATTATATCTTGACTTTTCTATCTCTTCTTAATTATATCCATGAACAAAATTTTTCTTTAATACTTTAAACATGGATTAAATAATAGCAACATCAAATTTTGAGACCAACTAAACTCAATTTTAATCATTAGTAAAAATAGATTTTAAATCTCAATTACTCGCTAACTAAATTTTAATAATCTAATCATAAGTTAAAATAAAGTAACTTGACATCATCAAATTAAAATTCTAATAAGATTGTAAAAATCAATAACAGTAAAACCAACGATTTCACATATAACTTGCTTTCTACCGCATGTTAGAATTTTAAGGATTGACATATGTAACATTTAAAATATTAAAATCTAATAAAATATAAAAATTACATACTTAAATCTCTATAATTAATATGTTACCTAAGAATGTTCAAATATTTTCAAGAATCATTGTAATTTAGAATCATTATAATTTAGAATCTTATAACAAAATCTAAAAAATAAATATAGTTAATATTGAGATTTACATCTTTCTCTCACCATTCAACTTCTATATAGTGATAACAAATGAAACATAAACTGTTTATAAATGTAGAGTTTTTTAAATGGAAGAGAAGACCTAACCTATTACAATAATCTTTTAGACACCTTTATCAAGTAGTTTATTTTTAATTTCAGACCTTATACTTTTTCATATTATACTGTACAAAACTTAGATAAAAACTTAATCCCATTTGGATCATATAATTTTATTAAATTTTATTAATTTTCCATTTGACTTAATTTTAAAAACCAAATACAATTAACAAAAACCTATATAAAATTTCTAACAATTTGGTCATTTTAACACTTGCAAACAAGGTTTTTTATGGTCGAACTAGGGAAAACAATTTAAAGTTATTATTAATAGATAATTTAATAAGCATAGTATCTTATTCTTTTATCAACAATAAATAAAATACATAATAATACACGAAAACAATTATGTGCTGTATTAGTAATTTTAGTGTATACCTTTGCAGCACTTGTTTCATGGTTCTAACTTCTGGAAACAGAGCTCGCTCATATAGAATTTTGGGTACTAATTACTAAACTTATTGGGTATTTTTTAAACCCCTGCTTTTCAAAAGAAAATTCCAAATCCCTACTTTGAGGAAAAAGCCTCAAATCTATCTATTGCAATCTTCATTCAAGTTGTCAACTTTCTCCTTTTCTTTTCAAAAATAATGGAGGTGAAGGTTGGGGGTGGGGAGAGGAATCTGTAACTGTCCATGAGCCACATACTGCCATTGTCTGTTTCATTTGTAGTTTTTGATCAATCTGCATCTCCTGTTTCCATTATTGTGTAAAACTCTGTTTTATATCAGCAAGAACTAACAAGAGTTGTCTTTCTTGCAGACATTACTGGAAGCAGGTAGCTCTACTGTTGGCCCCTGGATAGAAGGCTCTGTGGTTCAAATTTGGCTTAACTCTATGGTACTCATTTTTTATTCCTTTGAGCTCTTTCCATTCTGTTGTCGCACTCAACATTGACAAGAATGTTACGCATATTTAACCAGTCGAGATTATGGGGTGATTCAGCATGATACACGGCAATATCTCTAGTCTAGATGCTCATAACAAGTAGGTCCGTTTCTTCATGCCATGTTGAGACAAACCACGTTAATTCTCACACTTTCTTGTCTTGCTGGCTGATACACATCTCGCATTACTTTTGCTTAGCTTCATATGAAGAGGGTATTTTAGAAATTAAAAATTGCAGGTAAAGCTTTTACTATTTCTTGTGGGCAAAAATGGGAATAACATTGTTGTCATATCTGGGGTAGCTCTCAGAGAATTCTCTATTTGGGTCTTGTAGTGGCTGATAGCTGCAATGCATCATCATCATTGTAGATTAGGATGAAAAAGATACCAAGGGAATCTACATTTCTTCACAGCTGCGATATCTTGTAGAATTCGAAAACCCTGATTTAGGTAAAAGAACCTTATCTGGTTTCCTTGTGTCCCTAGATTTAATTGGTTTGAATTTAGATGTCGTAAGTCAAAACCCAATTCACCTCAATTTCTTCTGAGCAATATATATACCAGCTCCGGAAATAATATGAAGTTTTTCCTCTTTTCTTTTTTTTTTGGCAGTTAAAGTGGTGTCCTGAACCAATTTATGTACATTAGATATAGTCAACCTCAGATACGATGCAAGGCAAGTGACCAACATCGGAACTAAGGTATTTGTAAAGAATTATCTCATCTTCAGCTTCTAAAATATCATATCTTAGTCTATAAGGTGGGAAGCAAACTTGTACATCATAGCAACCAGGCCATTCCCTTACATTGACATGAATCATATTCATCATTTAGTATAAGTTAAAGCAGAATATCCAACTAATCAACCAATTCTGAAGCTGGATGTAAGTGAAGAATGCATAATAAATTAGATCAGAGCATTCTAAGAATAAGAACAATCCCCTAAAAACACAGAGCCTCACCCGATATTATTAAATATGCAGTCTTTTGTAATAAATAAAGCAGCTAACGTTTTTCTTTTTTTTCTTTTTTTTTTTTTTGATACATCAAATGTTAGGGTATACAAAAGAAGATAGCCCTCCCCTTCTCAAACCCCTCTCCATTTGTCTCAAGATTTGAACTCAAAATCTCCAACATAGTGGCTTAAGCTCTATTTATATGACATATCCTAAAGGACAAAGCAGCTAATGTTCGTAGTTTACTTATAATTCTTGTCTTTTCTTTGTTTTGATTATGTGAATAACCACGACCATGACAGTGATAAGCAAGCTTGATCCTCCAACCACTAATGGAGCACACAGCTTGCACCTTTTCTTCACCTTCTTTTTACTCTGACTTGCTTCTTCACTTACTCCTTTATCTCTCCTCAATTCTGGATGTACATCCTTTTCTTCTTTGATTTCATCTTCAATTTCTTCTACTTCTTCTTGTTCAGATGTAATCGATTCATCCGAAGGAAGGTCTGCAACCGGAGTTTCTGCTTGCTTTAGCTCTTCTTCAATTTCAGGTTTGAGAGGTTCTTGAGGCTCTTTTTCTGGCATTTCTTCTTCAGCTTGAGTTGACGGTGGATTTGGTAACTCTTCCTGTTGAGTCTCTTGATCTTTTACTTCTGTTACTTCCTCTGCCTCTGGATGTCTTTCTTCATCATCTTGAGGTTCTTCAATTTGTTCTTCAATTTGTTCTTCTTCAACTGATGTCAATTCTGACTCTTGTGGCTCATCTGTATCCCTCTCCAATTCAACTTCCTCAGGCTCAATAGTTTCTATTTCTGGATATGCTGTCAGAATAACATGATGTTCTTCCTTCTCTTCTGCTGTTTCTTTTACTTTCTCCAAAATCTGTCCTTCAGGTTCTTCTCCAACATTCTCGTCAATTTCATATTGAGGTGTCCTAGATTCCTCTTTCTCCACTTTCTCCTCTACAAGTCCACCAATTTCTTCCTCTTCTTCTCTCTCAGATTCTTCTGGTTCCACCTCCCTACTTTCCTCTTTTTCTTGAATCTCCCCAGGTCTCTCTTGTTCAATTTCTTCATTGCTTTGAATCTCATTTTCAATGATTCCTTCTTGTGGTGGTGCCTTTTCTTTTGGTGTGTCTTTCTGAATTGGCTTGTTGGGTTCTTCTGCTACCTCCTTGGGTTCCTCTACTGTATCCTTAGGTTCTTTTACTACCTCCTGGTGTCCCTCTACTACCCCCTTGGGTTCCTCTACTACGTCCATGAGTTCTCCTACTAACTTGAGTTCTTCAACCACCTCTTGGTTTCCCTCAACTATCACCTTGGGTTCTTCTCCTGCCTTCTTGGGTTCCTCAACTGCATCCTTGGGTTTTTCTACTGCCTTCTTAAGTTCTTCGACTGCCTTCTTGGGTTCTTGTGTTGCATCTTTGGGTTCTACTAATTTGGGTTTTTCTATTGCCTCTTTGTGTTCTTCTACTGCCTCCTTGGGTTCCTCTGCTGCATCCTTGGGTTTTTCTATTGCCTCCTTAGGTTCTTCTATTGCCTCCTTGGGTTGCTCTACTGCATCCTTGGGTCGTTCTACTAACTTGGGTTTTCTGATTACCTCTTTGTGTTCTTCTACTACCTCCTTGGGTTCCTCTGCTGCATCCTTGTGTTCTTCTACTAACTTGAGTTTTTCTGCTACATCCTTGGGTTTCTCTACTGCCTCCTTGGGTTTTTCTACTGCCTCCTTTGGTTCCTTTGCTGCATTCTTGGGTTCTTCTACCAACTTGGGTTTTTCTATTGCCTCCTTGAGTTCTTCTATTGCCTTCTTGGGTTTCTTTGCTGCATCCTTGGGTTCTTCTACTATTTTGGGTTTTTCCACTGCCTCCTTGGATTCCTTTGCAGCATCCTTGGGTTCTTCTACCAACTTGGGTTTTTCTTTTGCCTCCTGGAGTTCTTCTATTACCTTCTTGGGTTTCTCTGCTGCATCCTTGGGTTCTTCTACTAATTTGGGTTTTTTTACTGCCTCTTTGGGTTTTTCTTTTGCCTCCTGGAGTTCTTCTATTGCCTTCTTGGGTTTCTTTGCTGCATCCTTGGGTTCTTCTACTAATTTGGGTTTTTCTACTGCCTCTTTGGGTTCCTCTGTTGCATCCTTGGGTTCTTCTACCAACTTGGGTTTTTCTATTGCCTCCTTGAGTTCTTCTATGGCCTCCTTGAATTCCTCCACTGCATCCTTGGGTTCTTCTATTAATTTGGGTTTTTCTACTACCTCCTTGGGTTCTTCTACTAACTTGGGTTCTTCTATTGCCTCCTTGGGTTCCTCTGCTGCATCCTTGGGTTCTTCTTCTAATTTGGGTTTTCTTACTGCCTTTTTGGATTCCTCTACTACCTCCCTAGGTTCCTTTGTTGCCTCCCTGGGTTCTTTTATTGCCTCCTTAGATTCCTTTGCTACATCCTTGGGTTTTTCTACTAACTTGGGTTCTTCTCCTAATTTGGATTTTCCTACTGCCTCTTTGGATTCCTTTGCTGCCTCCTTAGGTTCCTTTGTTGCCTCCCTGGGTTCTTTTACTGCCTCCTTAGATTCCTTTGCTACATCCTTAGGTTCTTTTGTTAACTTGGGTTCTTCTACTAATTTAGGTTCTTCTTTTGCCTCCTTGGGCCCCTCTACTGCATCCTTGGGTTCATCTACTAATGTGGGTTTTTTTACTGCCTTTTTGGGTTCCTCTGCTGCCTTTGTAGGTTCCTTTGTTGCCTCCCTGGCTTCTTCTACTGCCTCTTTGGGTTCCTCTTCTGGATCCTTGTGTTCTTTTGCTGCCTCCTTGGGTTTTTTTACTGCCTCCTTTGGTTTCTTTGCTGCATTCTTGGGTTCTTCTACTAACTTGGGTTTTTCTATTACCTTCTTGGGTTCTACTACTAATTTGGGTTTTTCTACTACCTTTTTGGGTTCCTTTGCTGCATCCTTGGGTTCTTCTATCACCTTGGGTTTTTTTATTGCCTCTTTGGGTTTCTCTGCTACATCCTTGGATTCTTGTACTAATTTGGGTTTTTCTACTACCTCCTTGGGTTCCTTTGCTACATCATTGGGTTCTTTTACTAACTTGGGCTTTTCTATTGCCTCCTTGAGTTCTTTTATTACCTCCTCGGGTTCCTCCACTGCATCCTTGGGTTCTTCTACTAATTTGGGTTTTTCTACTACCTCATTGAGTTTCTCTGCTGCATCCTTAGGTTTTTCTACTAACTCGAGTTTTTCTATTGCCTCCTTGAGTTCTTCTACCGCCTCTTTGGGCTCCTCTGCT